GCGCAGAAATATTTAAGATTATAATAATATCAAAACGCCTGCAAATTACACTTAAATAATCTCGAATAACTCGGAAAATGTTTAAACATATATAAATGCCATTTAAACACGTCGCGACAGATGATCGTTAAAGGAAGAAAAGCGATGAGCACGTGGGATTCGTTTAAACCTCCTGAAGAGCTTAAGATCGAGATCTCCGCCGGCGCCATGCTGGCGGCGATTTCGGTTGGGGATTATTCCAAACAACGATTCCTCACGTCGTTCTATGTGCGTATAATCGTCTCGGCCGGCCGTAAAGGTACTGTTACTACTCAAATTATAATAGAATCGTCTTTTCTTCTTCATTTTTATATACCTAAGAGATAACGATTTGAAAAATCTGTTATATCTGAGAAATTCATTTTTGTCACAAAATAGATTATACCTTCTTCTATGATATTATTAATTATGTTAACAGAAATCGATAAATAATTTATTACTTTCGTTACTATCTACAATTAAACTAATTTGATCAATCAATATGTTAAATGGATATCTTGGAATACCATATTTTAACTCTAACATTATGTATTCTAACTTTTTGCGATTCTTTATCGAGATAGATATAATTTTTGCAATAATACTCCGTATTTTTTAAACAAAGCATAAATAATAAAATGTACTTTTAAGATTTTCATAAAATTTTCAATTATTTAATGCTATCGTAATTTTATTTACTAGTAAAACATAGATATATTAATGTGATTATCTTATCTTTATATATTTATATATACCATATATACCCATAATGTATATTTATACATTTCAATTTTTTCACATTGACGTCGAAATTGTTAATAAAATTAATCGGGCAATAAAGCTCGAGAATGTACCGTTTTTACTTTGAGAAACAGATTCCCTACGGTCCATACGCGACGCGTCACCGACTCTAACGGTAACGTTGATTCGTCCAAAACGTCGTTTCCTCATATACAAGTTGAACGTATCGAGTTGTATTTTATTTATATCGTTGTGAGCGATAACGGTATATGCGTTTCGGTGGTTCGTTTCATGAATAAATTATTTTAACTGTCGTGTCACAAGACAGTAACATTTTTTTTTGTAACTATGACAAATTTTTAACTATCATATAGAAACAATCTACTTATTATTTGATTTATTCTTGGAGCTACAAAACTATTTTTACTTTAATCAAACTATCATAACTTATTATTAGTTTATAACAATCGAATTCATACATTTTACAGCGTTATTTTATGGAAATATTTTATAAAATGAACAATATTTAAATATTATAAAATGAAAGCAAATCTTGACTTAATCCATATATTTGAATATCAAATGTTTGACTTAATGTTAAAATCTAATACAATATTTATCTAATATCAAAATAATAGAATAAAATATATGTTTTACAAAAAAACGAATTTTAGTTTTTGATTCAGCGAATCCTTATTTTTGTCAATCACTGATAATACATACATAGTAGAGCGAAAAGAATTTTGTCAGTAAAAAAGTGAAATTTTGAATAGTGTCTGGATAGTAAACTGATGTTAAAGACGTTATTTCGATGTTAAAATGATGACAAATAATGTCAGCCTGTTACTTGAGTAATTTTGCGGTTGCATCTAGAAAAAATCCGCGGCCTGTGGCGGCATAGTTAAACGTCGCATTTACGTTGTGTGCCTTAGATAATAAACGTTTGTAGCACCACGAAGCGGTACAATCGTGAGATTATTATTTCTTTGAAAGAAATATTTAGTGTCTCTCTTTGTCTATATTTGAGCCAGTATAGATTTTGAATTAGGAATTTAAAACTTAACCCGTAAGGGTGGATGTGTATAGACATAAAAGATAGACCTATTATATATGTCTATGAGTGGATGTTGTAATTAACTGTTCAACCGCATTCACCTAAAGATCTATCTAGTTGATACTAATTAAAAATAACATCAATCTTATAATCTTGTGCTCAACAATAATATAAATATCACATGACGTTTCATAATAAATACATTTTTGTGTTTATCGGTATAACATTAATGTCTTTAAAACGTATTTTTAATTGGTGTATATCAATTTGTGTGTATCAATTGAACATTATCAAACTTCACTTTGAATTTATAAATCTAGATCTAAGTTTTTGAATTTTTTCTTGTTTTCGCAAAATTGGTTGTCCGAAACAAATGAATTTTGTAGGACTTGCAAAAATCGATTATTGATAGTGTTTTTGAATTATAACTTCAAAGACACTTTTAATCTGAATTTTACTCACCATGAGGAACATTTGCTTCAGCTTCAGTTACAAGTCCTTTCTCGGCTCGTCCGATAATCTCCACGTTTCATTAAAATCGAGCAGACTGTCCTCGAGAGACCGGACAAGTAAAAAAAATTATAAATACCGAAAAAGAGAATATTAAAATTGGGGCCACGATTCACTCTTTCGCTTCCTTAAACACCGTTCATGTCACTGCACCGGATGTTGAGTGGGGTCGAGCACCTCCGTCCTCGCAGGTAGATGTCCAGAGGTTGACTGTAGAATCGTAAGTAACCGCTCTGTGCTTGGGCAGCCAGCCGGGGCGAAAGAGGGGATCTTTCTTTCTCTTTCTTCCTTTCTAGTCAGGGATACCGATGGCCCCTATTCTGTTTTTAAACCTTTTTCCGCGTATTGGTGGAAACAGAAGACAATAACTTGATGTCAATAAAAAGGGTAAACCTCTGCTAAAACCAGCTAAAACTCCCTTTTGCAAATAGATCGTACGGATTGGAAAACGCAGAGAACACTTGAAATTTTTTTTCTACTAGACAACCGAAAGAAAATATATGTATAGGGACCTGTGTAGAAAACATTATCCCTCTTAAATAAAAGCTTTGAAATTAATTTGAATAAAACATTTATCTTATTATATAAGTTCTATTGTTATAGAGTTGTTATAAAATTAGAAATCAAGGAATTCGCAAAATTTTTTAGAAAGTTAAAATTCTTAGTTTTTAAAGAAGTTTAATACGTGTATATCACATGTACAGTTTTGAAATACTACCAATTCAACTATTAAATAGAAGCAATGTCAGCAATGTTAACAGTAATTTACACTGACTGCATTCAGCAAAAGGTTCATTTTGTAACTATTAGAAGTTTTCTTTATTGAGATAGGATTATTCCTCTAGATCTAAAAACACAATTCAATCAGCGCGAAGAAAACTTCTAATAGTTGCAAATAAAAATATAAATAAACATTCATCGCGTTAAACGCGATTATGTTAAATTACTTTCTCACAATAAAATATTTAATAATTTCCAAATTAGGAAAAAAATTAAGAAATTATTATTGAAAGCACCAGAGAAACTCATGAAATTTTATCTGGAAATTAGAGAAAAGTTATGGAATTTTAGGATAAGATTTGTGACACCGATTAAAATTGGAGAAAAAATGCGAGTTTTACAGTACATGAAAAAATATTAAATATTCAATAAATAATAAAAATTTTTTTATGGGATTTTTGAATTTACTGAGATCATGTAAATATATAAATTTGTTAAATATATTCAACTAAAAGCAATATATTTTTAAATACAATCTAACAGATTTATATGTTTACATATAATCTCAGGAAATTATTATATCATATTAAATTACTCTTATACATAGCTTTATCAATTAAATTTTTTGGAAAAATTTTAAGAATTGAATCAAGCAAATAATATCAAATTTATCGTAATTACCAAAAATCCTAGATCTTAAAATAAAGATTACATTCTTAGAGCATGAATCATCTTGAACAAAAATCTTAATAAAAAAACAACAAAATAGATATAGATAATCTATGCTACTATTAAGGTAAATGTACCGGTTATTGGACAGTTAAGGAATTGCACGACGAAATCATTTATTTAAACTTCAGAAACATTAAAATTTTAGTTTATTACACATGCTTAGTAAGAATGGATGTTTTCTGAAACTAAATTCCTCCATTATCAAATATGTTATTTGCGTTTATTATAAATGGTATTTAGTCATAAATATAATATGATTCAAATGTCCGAATTATTGGACAAAAAATGTGACGTGTCTCTGTGTTCACAAAAGTATGACCCAACTATTGGACAAATAATAAGCAATTTTCTTATTATAGAAGAGAATCGCATTTTACTTACTTATCAATCAAGATTGTTCAAAAAAGTTTATCGAAATTGCAATTAGTGAAGTTTTATATAAAGTTTTATATGTAATATATACAAAATATGTTTGCAGTAGACAAGGTACGCTAAGGAATGTCCAATAATTGATACACGCATATGTGTAAATGTCCTAATAAATGGACGATTGTCCATAAAAGAAATTTTTTTTACAAAAGTATAATTTTTAATATGAATAAATTATATAATACTTAATTTCTAAATAATATGAAAAATTGCTTAAAAATTTATTTAGAGTAACACATATCATCAAAAGCTTAATATTTAAAATTGTCACAATTTGTCCAACAATTGGGTCGTGTCCACGAACTGGTACATTTACCTTATATTCTATAATTATATTTTTTTATGAAAAATGAGAAATAATTGATAGGTTAAACCAAGCAACATTAACACTTCAATCATTATAGAAAATAAATTTTGTAAAACTTACAATATATAGATTTCACTTATTTTAAAAATAATGTATCTCAGCATTTGTTATAATGTAATTCATAATACTATATATTCAAAAACACATTTTCATATTACGGGCATTTGCAAGCTGTTTTTGATATTCTAATATTTTTGTAACATACATAGAACATATACAGAATGTTGCAAATCAATAATTGCGAAAATATGACGTGAGTTTGCCAAGTGTACGATTTGATAACAGCGTAGTTAGTAATATTAATTATCTCGAGTAACAGCAAATTCGGTTGACAAAAATACTACAATATAAATTAAATTAGTATATATAGTTTACATGCAGAATTATAGTATAAAATAAAATATCCAGTTTACAAAGGAACGTGCTATATATTGCAAAATTAATACAAAAAAACTAACGTTACCAACCAAAAGATTACGTTTGTAATGGATGATCAAATCTTAGAATCCCATGGATTCTATACTCGATTTGGGCCAAAAATCGATGAAGACACAAAATATCTCGAAAACAATCTAACTGAGCCCAATAAAATTCTGGACTCAAAGTATTGGTAGCTGATCGGATGGTATTTTCCAAATCCTATAACTTTTATTTAAAATATTTTTTTCAAAAATGCATTGTTCTTGAGATATTTTGCATCAAAGTCAAAATAGCCAAATATGTTTCTTTGTGTCGGGTACAGAATCCATATAGAATTCTAAGATTTAACATCTAGAATATTTTTAATGTGATGTTTCGACTGCCCATATAGCATAGCGGCACATGCAAAATGCCAAAAAAGTGCTTTTATGCAGTTTTTTTAGCGCTTTGTTAACGCTTTTTAGGCGCTGTGTTACTTGGGTGGTAACGTTAGTTTTTTTTTTTTATATCATTTTTGCAATGTAGTAGGTTTACTTGTCAGTGAAATATTACACATATTTTGCCAAACACGTTAATTTAAGCTAAATATATTTTACTAACTTTCAAGTTTCATTATATAATTTTAGTTATACAATTTTGGTACATTCCATGGCAGCTTCAATTTATATGCGACTGTATAAATCAACCGAATTCGTTATAACTTCTCGTCTCTTTTCTTTAAAATATTGGACAACTGTTTTATATATTTTAGCATACATTACAGTATAAGTCAGTATTAAACTAAATGATCTTACTGATTTAAATATGGTAAAAAAAAAATTAAAAAATCACGAAGAATAATTGTTTAATCGTCGAATTTAATGGAATTAACATGTGTATCTATGTGTCCACCACGGTAAGAACCACGCTTCTTTTTTTGCTTCTCATGTCGAAACTTCTTGCCCTTTGTAAACTTCAACACTTCATTAGCGCGTTCCCCCCATGATCCTTTTGCACCTTTCTGTACAGGAAAAAAAATAAATATTAAACATTTTTAGATTTTTCTTAAAAATTAAAAGATTATATCTTTTTGTGATAAAAATCCTGATTTTTCCCTCACCTTTATATACATCTTTATTATTAATCATCAAAAGTGATTTTTTTATTTTGGGATGGGGCTGTGATATCAAAGGATTTTCTTTTATCGAAACCACCCTTAAAAGTTCCTCTATCATTACTCTCATTGTTTCCCCACGATTTTCTGGGTCCATCATTATCCCTATTGTTTCCGCCCCAAGATTTTCTGCCATCAAAACCACCTCTACCACCACCTCTACCACCACCTCTACCACCACCTCTACCACCACGACCGCCTCTAAAACCACCGCGACCACCGCGACCACCCCTATCATTATCATTGTTCCAATGTCCAGCATTATCACTACTGTTGCTCCAACGCCCACCCCGATCGCCGCCGCGTCCACCTCTAAAACCGCCACGACCACCCTCGGCATGTCCTCCTCGGAAATTACCCCTACCGCCTCTAAATCCACCCTTAAATCCACCTCGTTCCGAGTTTTCTTTTTTAAAACTGTTATCATCATCTTCATCCTAAAACAAAAGAGGAATAGGTCAATCGCCCATATTAAAAGCATGTTATTACAAAGCAATTCACATTTTTTTTCTTGCTTTTATTTGTTTTAGATTTTATAAAATTTTAAATTTGGATAAATTTGGTGAATGCACGGAAACATGGTCTCAAGCAGGGTCTCAAGCTTTTGTAAAAAGGGCGAGTGACCTAAGCCTCTTGGACGGTTTCCAAGCATTTACCTTTGCTTCAAACGAATTATTAGCCAACTTAGGGTCCAATTTGATGTCCTCGCTTTTCACACGCTGATATGTACGATTTTTCTGCAGCTAAATAAAAATAGGTGATAAAAAAAAATATTTGTATCATATCTCGATAAATGCACGTCTAAGGTAAATGTATCAGTTAGGTTTAATTTTCTATTAGGTTAACTTGTTAAGCTTGATTTAATGTTTCACTCAATAAGCTTCACCCATGACATCATCACAGATGAAACTCGTTAGATTAAGCCTAACCACAAGTTAACCAAAAAAATGGAAAACCTGACGTTAGTGAACATGACATTATTAGACGCGAACCGATAAAAAATTGAAATACTAAACCTTTAATACATACTACTCTAAATAAATTCATTATTTATAAAAATTTAATAATTAATTTATTCTGAAACATACATATCATTGAAAGCTTAATATTTTTTATTTTTATCATTTCATTCAATAATTGAATCATGTCTATGAACCGATATTTATCTTAATTGTTACTTAAACATAGCAGTAAACGCTGCATTCAGAAATTGAACAAGAGAACATTGACTGAATAGACAATTAAATTAGTTATACAATTCTCAAACTTTTTATTGAGTAACTTGTGCAAGAAAATTTTAAATATATTCATTGATTACTTTTCATTCAGTTTAGCCAATTTTTCATTCAAAATGTTATTGTATTTTAAACTGTATTTTATATAAAGACTTCATACACATATACAATGCATGCAAAAGTTTCTGGCTAGTGACATTTTGTACACTAATTTATATATACATATACACAAACATATATACCTGTATATATATATATATATATATACACACCTTATTTCCATTGAAGCTACTATTAGCTTTTGTAAAGTTGCCATAGTTATTTTTTGCAACTTTTGCTGGTGTTTTTTCTTCATCATTATCAGTGTGTTTTCTTTTTTGTCCCTTGTCGATATAAGCTAGTGAGTGAATTTTTTCTTTATTGGAATCATTGGAATCTGAATCAGATTCGCTCGAGGATTTTTTTTTGACAATTGTCTTGACCGATGCTGTTGTCGGTGTCTCATCTTCTGAATCATCTGAATCTTCACTAGAAGATTCTTCTTTCTTCGGTCTTTTAATCATCATTTTTGATACTGCCGTTGTCGTTGGTTTCTCATCTTCATCGGATTCATCGTCTGACTCCTCGCTTGACGAATCTTTCTTCTTTTCAGAATCTTTTTTCTTTACAGAACTAATTTTATTAGTACTTCGATTATCAATAATTGGCGTTTTATTAAGCGCCACTTTTGTTACTGTCATTGCTGTTGGTTTTTCTTCTTCATCAGATTCATCATCAGATTCCTCACTTGATGAATCTTTCTTTTTTACAGAATTAATTTTATTAACAGTACTCTGTTTAGCAAAAGCTGGTTTTTTAGTCGGAGGTTTTTCATCTTCGCTGCTTTCTTCGCTGGAGGAAGATTTTGTTTTCTTAGTAGCGACTGCTGAAGTTGATTTCTTAGTGCTAACTAGAGCAGGTTTTTTAACAGGCTGCTCTTCTTCGCTATCATCACTATCTTCACTTGAAGATTCTTTCTTGTTAGTTACTTTTACTGGTGCAGCTGGTTTATTGACAGCTACTTTTTTGGACGTTTCTTCATCACTGCTTTCTTCACTTGATGACGACTCTGATTTTTTAACTGCTTTTGCTGGCGTCGGCTTACTCTGATTTTGTGTATTCAAAGTTACAATTGCTTTTGTTGTGATTGTTTTAGGTTCGTCTTCACTGCTCTCTTCCTCGCTTGAAGAAGAATCTTTTTGCTTAGCAGTAGCTAAGAAAATTGGTTTTTTAACAGACTGCTCTTCCTCACTGCTATCATCACTAGAAGATTCTTCCATAGCAGTTTGTTTTGCTGATACTAAAGATTTACTGATAACTGATTTTTTCTGTATATTGTCATTCAATGCACCCACATTATAGCCTTTGTTCCTATTTTGCTGAACTGATGTTGCTGATTTTTGTTTTTTTAATTCTGTTTTTAAAGCTGCATTTGTTAAGGGTGTGGATGTCTTAATTGTTGACTGTTTGGTAGTTTTTAAATTTACCATTTGAACATTAGGATTGTCTGAAGATGAATCACTGGAAGTTGAATCAGATGAATTATCCATTGATTGAACTGCTTTTAATACTGCCTTTGCTGCTATGAGGGTATCAGATTTGGCTTTGTCATTTGTTTTTTGTTGTAGCACAGTTTTTGTTTGAACTTTTGGTGGTTCTTTATCAGTAGAACTCGCATCAGAACTTTCTTCTTGCATAACAGAAGCCTTTGCATTTTCTTTCTTTGCTACTTCTTGATCTTGTGCTTCATCTTCACTAGAATCATCTTCCTCAGAAGATTCTGCTATCTTTTTAAGAGCCACTGTCTCAACTCCTTTACCATTGATTTGAGTATTTGTTTCTGTTTCCTCTTCACTTTTCGAGCTACAATCTGAACTGCTTTCCTCAGTTATTTGTGTAGCTAATGTATGTGGGATCTTTTTAGGAGAGTTCTTTTGGAAATACTTAAATACTTCCATTAACATTGGACATTCTCTTCGCAGGAGAGGCTGAAATATAAAAGCATCGATAAAGCAATTATTGTTAATTGTATGTAATATTTAAGAATTTTAGGATGTTAAAATAAAAATTACAACATACAGATAGTATGGAATAATCGAGAATGATCATATTAGGTGTGTTGCCCACGTGGTGTTAACGAGTATGGCGTCTGGCGGTACTTAAGTACCGCATGGCGCGTGGCGTTCAGCCATTCTTGCAACTTACCGGTTTAGTCTTCTTCTGGAAAACGACCGCCAGCGATGTATCCTTCTTTAGCAAATAGTTATACACGAGACCAGCTAATAACAATTCGTCAGCGTTGTCCATGGTACCAGATACGTATGCAAGTGAAGAAGCCAATAAACTTACGAAAATCGCTTTCGCAACCTCCTCACACGTTGGCTTCGTTACTCAAGTGGCAAAATAGCTACTTGCTTTTCCTGTGGCCTTCGTGGCGCTGCTGTTGTTTATAACTGCAATATATACTTTAAGCGGGGAGCACAGACTTTTGCATAACGCATAAAGCATGTGCATAATGAATTTCATTGGTCCATTTTCTTATGCATGAGTCAATGGACCAATCAAATTCTTTATGTATATGGTTTATGCGTTATGCAAAAGTCTGTGCTCCCCGCTTTAGGGTATATCCACACAACCTGCATAGCTGCATAAACATATGCTGGATTCACACTGCATACGATTTTCGTCGTTTTGCAACCAATAAGAAAAACCGTATCATCGATACAAAGCAAAAATTTGTTTCCTGATTGGTTGCAGAGTCGTCGTACGACGAAACTCGGTAGGCTGCATTCCGTTTCTAGCATATGCGCGCATGTTATATAATAGCCTGGTTTACATCGTGAAAGAATTGGTACGCGTATTAAATGTGTTTCATGCGTTTACGGGTACGGTCGAGTTGCCACTATGAAACTTCGAAGCGTTTCTTGATTGGTTAATTTGTAAAATTCTTTCTTCTGATTGGTTAATCAAACGCTTCGAAGCATTCGTAGTGGCAACTCGACCGCACCCTACATCGCCATTTGTATCATTTGATATGCGTATCAGTTTAGTACGATACTGGCCTGGTTTACATCGTGCACTTGATACGCGTACTAACTAGTTACTTTCTATTGAATTATCTTAATTTCAGCGATATATGTAAATGTATACACAATAAACGAATTTATGTTAAACATTTTGATGCGTATTGTATCAATTTTATACATCTTTCTTTAAATACATTGCTAAAATTAAGATAATTTAATAGAAAGTAACCAGTTAGTATGCGTATCAAGTGCCCGATGTAAACCAGGTCACTCCTGCTTGATACGCTCGTACCAAAATAATCCGACAACGTTTACATCGCGTGCGTACTAAATGTTTAGTACGAATTTGATACAAATATAGTACCTGATACGCGTATCAAGTGCACGATGTAAAGAAACGTATACGAAAGTCTAGGGAAATACTACAGTATACGTTACGTATACTATAGTATTTCTCTACACTTTCGTATACGTTTCTTTTCAAGAATAGAGCCCCTGGCCAATGAGCATCACGTATACCATAGGGGAATGCGCGCATATGCGTGAAACGGAACGCAGCCATATGCATAAAGAAAATTATCCAATCGCATTTCTCTTAAGGCGGAATCCATAGACGTTGCTTAGGCGTTGATAAGGTACGGATACATGTTCGTAAATTAGATCATTTTATACTTTATCACAAATTTGAAAAAGTAAAGTGTAAAGTATAAAATGATCTAATTTACAAACATTCGTACCTTATCCGAAGCCATTCTTCGTTTATTTTCCTAATATTTATTGCAATAAATAATATTTTCATAATGAAACGACGGACATATTGTACGCTTTCTCGATTTTGTCGCTTGCTGCTTGCCGTTCGTTCGGTTCAACTTCAACGAACTGCGGCAAAATGTATTTTGCGCCGGAAGTGCGTCATCTAGCTTACATAAAATTCTTAACCAATAGTAACGAATTGCTGCTGCAGCGTGCTGCGCATGAAAAAGTACCTTAAGCCTTAAGCCATAAGGAATGGACGAATCATAGTCGATTATTCTCCTCGAATTCAGGTGCTTTTTCATGCGCAGCACGCTGCAGCAGCAATTCGTTACTATTGGTTAAGGATTTTATGTAAGCTAGATGACGCACTTCCGGCGCAAAATACATTTTGCCGCAGTTCGTTGAAGTTGAACCGAACGAACAGCAAGCAGCAAGCGGCAAAATCGAGAAAGCGTACAATATGTCCGTCGTTTCATTATGAAAATATTATTTATTGCAATAAATATTAGGAAAATAAACGAAAAATGGCTTCGGATAAGGTACGGATACATGTTTGTAAATTAGATCATTTTATACTTTACCACAAATTTGAAAAAGTAAAGTATAAAATGATCTAATTTACAAACATTCGTACCTTATCCGAAGCCATTCTTCGTTAATTTTCCTAATATTTATTGCAATAAATAATATTGCCTCGATTTTGCCGCTTGCTGCTTGCTGTTCGTTCGGTTCAACGAACTGCGGCAAAATGTATTTTGCGCCGGAAGTGCGTCATCTAGCTTACATAAAATTCTTAACCAATAGTAACGAATTGCTGCTGCAGCGTGCTGCGCATGAAAAAGTACCTTTCGACTGTAATTGGTTAATTTCTTACAGCTTAGGGCTTAAAACACGTATTGTAGATCCGGGGTAATGCATAACGCATAAGAGAATCAATCAATCACAATATTAAGCGGGGAGCACAGACTTTTGCATAACGCATAAACCATATACATAAAGAATTTGATTGGTCCATTGACTCATGCATAAGAAAATGGGCCAATGAAATTCCTTATGCACATGCTTTATGCGTTATGCAAAAGTGTGTGCTCCCCGCTTAAGACTACTATCTCTATTCTCTATGGTCGAGCGTCAGCATGAAAAGCCAGCTTATTGCGCGTAAATGGTCGAATTTGATTGGTCGAATCTGATTGATCGTCGTTTCTTTTCAAAATTTATAATCCGGTACGTGCTCGTGGTGTCAATTGTCGGTTTGATTTTCCGACGATTTTTTTTGTGATTTAACTGTTTTGCAGCATGACAGAGACTCAACAGAAGACTAAGTGCATTACTTTGAAAGGTTCTGCCGAGTTGGTCACGCAATATCTGCGTAAGTATACGATTTTATGAGTCAATTTTAAACTTTAGATACGTTTAACCTTTCTCTGATTGCTACCTTTCGTTGTAGGCTATGGGGTCAATAGTATACTCTATCAAAGAGGGATATATCCACCAGAGACTTTCACGCCCTCCGAACATTTTGGTTTATTCATCTTCACATCCACGGATGAAAAGATCACGTCCTTCTTAAATACTGTGCTGGGACAAATTGAAGAATGGCTCGTCCAGCGTAAGGTGCATAAAATCACGCTTGTTATAACAAACGTCAATACAAAAGAAGTGCTAGAAAAGTGGGATTTCAAGGTTGATTACGAAGATCAGAAGATGAATGGAATAGATAGTACAATGAAGGGTGATTTGCTTGAAGTAGGGACGAAAGATGTAAAAACTATACAGAAAGAAATACGCGAAGTAATACGTCAGATCACAGGTAATTTAAAACAACTCATACGTTTTTTATAAATAAAACATGACACATTTCAGGTGGCATAAAACACTTCAGCGATATTGTTGTAACACTGAATATTTATGCTATTGAATTTAAAACGTTCAAATTGTAATACGAAGTATTTTTACAGGTACTGTGAGCTTCTTGCCACTCTTGGATTGTTTGTGTTCCTTTGATATACTTATATATACAGTACCTGACTGTAACATTCCCAACCAGTGGGACGAAACTCAGCCAGTTTTTATTGCAAATAGTCAAGAGGTACAACTTAGATCATTTTCAACTTCTTTACATAAAATGGATACTGTAGTTAGTTACAAAAATACCTGAGCCTATATTTATCTTTTTATATGTAATGTTTGTAAATACAATTTTATTTCAACTACATATGTGTTAACCACCATTACCAAAGATTGCTGTATTGTTTCATACAGGTTAGTGATTAAATAATGTAGAAATACTTTCTCATAGACGACGCATCCATATTAAAACACATCAAGTATGTTAATTAAAATATTACATTTATTAATGTTTGCAATTAGTATGTCAGGTATTTTTATGTGACAAATATATATATATATATAATATATATATATATATATAAACCAACATATTTTAAATGTGAGAAAAGTACTAAAAGAAAAATATATACAATTAAACATGTTAATTACTATTAGATCTTTTAATAATACAAATTTAAAAAATTAAGTTATCTATTAAAATTTATAATTATAATTTTTGTTTCTTTTTTTTTTTGGACTATTTTAGATTTTAATTCTAAATGTAGTTTTAAGACTAGTTTTGTAAAACAAAAATAAAAATGTATAGGAATTATAGAAAAAAAAGGATAAGGAAACACAGGGAACACTGACAAGAGAATCTTGGCAGATTTTATTAAAACATAATTGATTTTTACATTTAAACACAAGAATTACATTTGCTTACTTGATAAAGCATGAGATGCGACTAGAATAAAGTATTTTCGCTTATCGACGCTTTATAATAATCATCTAATGCTAGCGTCTTCCAGCGTAAAGCTTTTCTTGTATGAAATCTCGTTGCTGATACTAGCCTCAACCATTTTTTAACGATTTCTCGTTATCCATCTTTAAAGTATTCTAAACAAAATAATGCACATTTAAAAAATAATTTGAAAGATCAGCGTCGTGCCCTTTTAATTTTAGATAAAATCATACATTTTACAAACATACTCATAAGTATAAGTGTAACATATTCAGTCATAATCTGTCTAATTTGGGTAGAAACGAAATTAAGTAATAAAAATTATTTTGTGTCTTATACACATCCGCAATGCCTGATAATTGGCACTCGATTTGATGACAAATCTAAATGAATGAGAATAATTGCCTCTTATTCGAATAATCGGCACTTGCTTTGAAGGTTCATAAAAGTTTATATGTGTATGAGTTCTCTAAAGCAATCTTAACGTATTAAGAAATTAGTAAAATTTATAATGAGAATTTTTATGAAGATATTACGAAGGATTTCTGAGGAGTATTACATTAATTTTATAAATATTCAAATACTTTTATTGCTGTATTCAAGTTGTATACTTTTTTATGTATCTTCATAATTTTAAATAATTATGTGTCACATTTTTTTGAATGATTGTATCTAAAAATTTTACATGTATCTTTATTTCTTTTTTTTAATTATATTTTACATTATTATCTGCGATTGTAAATTCATTTTTTATTTTGCATAATAATTAAATATAATAAATAAGATTTGTTTTTTAAGATATAGGTAAAATCAGTATTTTGAAACATAGAGGCCGTAACATTTTTATTGTATTATTCCTTACCCTTAGACGATTATCATAAACATGACATTTTTACTTTTCAAAGAGTATCCAATTATACGAATATAAAAGAGTATCGTTTCTTTCATTTATATCTGCCACTGTTCTGAGCGCATTTCGTCGAATAGAAGGAGGTTGTTTTGGGAAACATTGATGGCGACCTATACCTTTATTAGTAATTCGCCGTTACGTCTCCCTTATAATAATTTCGCTATTAACGTTAATACTTCGTGCTGCTAGAGTTAGCCATATTATCAATAGTGCGTAGTCTTTTTGCTATAAAGACTATCGCGGAACGCAAATTGTCCGGTTCTTGTTTGCTTGGCTCGTCTTTGAGTCATTATACGATACTTTTGAGAAAATAGCACTTTCGAGCATTCAAGATTGTAAAAAATATCCTGGACCTTTGATGCACTTTGGATGCGGTTAAAGTCTTACTAGAAATGTTTTGAAGCATTTGATTGATCAGAAGAAAGAATTTTACGAATCAAAGAATACTTCCAAGCATGTGTAGCATTACGTTGACCGTACTCTTTTGCGAACGTTTCAAAAATCCATATTTTACAAATATCGAATATTTTCTATCTATGCAAATTACATTAATAAATGTTTTATATTAACACGTGTTTTTTTAGAAATTTTCTGAAACATTGGTGAATATTTCTACGACGTACCGTAGCAATTGCAATAATATTTTGCGACAATATGACCGATTTTAATTTCTTAAAACTTCTTACATTAGCATACCAGGTCAAATATTTATTTAAAACGAGCTAATAATTAGTATTAAATAATTGTAATTTTAAATTGGATTCGTAATATGGTTTTGTCGCGACCAACATGTATATGTACAGTTTTTAATTTATAACATAAGTTTAAAAAGAATTTGACAAATTAACAATATTAAAATTATCGTACCACATAATTTGAAGCATAATGTAAACCTTATAATACACACATCACACTACATGATAATAACTGAGAAGGAAACCGATTTTAATAATTGACAATAATAATTTAATAATTGATAATAATGATCCACTCTCTTCGTTTGGGACACTGATATGACTGCCTGTTTTCGCTACCGACCGTAGAATGGGCTCTTTGATTTATAGAAGATGACATATGTAATTTTAGATGGTTAATTTTTTTGAGTATGTATGTAAGTGAAAATGCTTTTTGTTAATGACATCGAGGGATTTAATATGTATGTGTAATTGGATTAATGTATGTAATTTATAAGGGGTTTGTCAAAGATTATGTTACGGCTGATGATGACTAAGTAAAGTCGAAACGTTCTGCGTAGAATTATTTTGTAAAGATTTAAAATTACAATTATTTAATACTAATTATTAGCTCGTTTTAAATAAATATTTGACCTGGTATGCTAATGTAAGAATTTATTTTATTATCATACGAGCGAAAGTTTAACTAATGAATTATTTAGAATTGTTCATTTTAATTATTATTCTTAAAACTTTTTGGTAGACAACTTGATGACATTTGATGAAACTAGGAATGTTCGGCGAACAATATTTGTAAAATTCTACACATTATGTGCAAGAGATGACTTCAGTTTCTAACGTCGCGCCGTTTCGTAATATAATTGTGCATAATTAGATGTTTGTAAGATTTTCTACTCGAAATATTTTGTTTTTCTTCAAAAGCACGTGATTTACGCCAAAGACGGACATTACATTCGTAATTATTCTCTGCACCCAAGCCATACGCTCTTTAAATGTGTCCTAGACTAGTTTTGCTCTGCATTCGTTTTTTTAGCTCACACACTGCGAAAGCTGCTGGAGATACGTTGCAGTTTTACAAACGTGTTTATCCCGTTGGCTCGTAACACCGTAAGAGAGCGAGCAATGATGGTAATGGAGTTCGCCGGGTCGTAAATTATTTAAAGTTCTCTCGCGATGTAAATTAGAAAAAGGGAAATTGTCATTAGAAAAGCTGGTTAGAAAAGAAGTTAACATAATGAAGAAAACACTGTTTTTTACAGTGCTAATGAGCATTGAAAAATGAAATACTATCTACTCGTACAAATTATAAATTTTTTATGCACACAATTATGTATAGGCTGCTAATTAAAATTGATTTCAAATTTTAAAATGCAATAGCAGTTAATAATCCTAAAATTCTTAATTATTAAAATGTAATTTTATTGTTAATATTTTACGGATAAAAATTCTATTTTATTTTTGTTATATCTTTTTATATCACATTATCTGTAATTTTTAATGATTCGAGACGAAGTTTCTTTTGCCGCAATCTATACGGTGCAACAGAGTAGCATGGATCGCGTCTTGAATAACATTATGCGGTAATTCTTCTTAAATACCGTAGAAACGCGTCTCTAGTAAAAACATTGAAAAATAAACAACGCGAAATAATATACAATATTTTACAGTAGCGCTTAGTATACCAGTGATTGGGCATTATTCTCGCGAAACGGTGATTCGCGATAATCGAGAATTTGCGAAAGTCTCATCCATTGAATCGTTCGATCGCATCACAAGTTTCTCCGTACGATCGCAAATGTAATTCATGGAGATCTTTATAATCATTATTACGCACGAACGTTTATGCATTAAGGGGATAGGAATCACAAGCGCCATCAGTAAAGTACTAATACCAGCTACAATAATGGATAAAGTAAGGGGTTACGCAGAATAAAAGGAACAGAGAATAGAGAATAAGAATTTCAACCTATCAGAAATCATATACTGTGGAATAAACAGTGTGTATTCCATAGTACATGATTTCTGATAGGTTGAAATTCTTATTCTCTGTTCCCTGTTCCTTTTATTCTGCGCAGCCCCTAAATGTCCCATCGTTAATTAATTAATCGTCAACGCGACGGACGCATGCTTAACCACCGTATGCTTAACCACCGTTCCGCGGTCCCATCCACTTCTCGTGGACCGAAAATCGATTCTCCTTATGTGTAAAATCGCGTTCGATTGTAACGCGGTGCCCCGCACGAGGCGTGCGCAAAATAGCACGCCCCGAATTGTCATTTATTTATACACCTCTACTTACTTAAGTTTATTTTGGACTAACGCTATATTTCGATTTACGATCGTTCCTCTTTCTTTTTATGCGTAAAATATCATAAAATACATTCTTTCTTTTATTCACTATTCACGGACTCGCCGTTTCGTTTCGGTAATTGCACATTGGAGACGAGTGACGATATCGAGCGAGTGAAAAATTGTTTTATCTCTTTACCATATTTTATTTAAAAAATGTGTAGAAACGAGATATTTAAAAAATTTGTTAACGTTACTCTATATAATTATAATATATGATAGTATAACAATTTAACATTCTTGTAAAATTATGTAGAAAATTATATGGAAATGATATTTTTTTAAATGAGTCTTAAATGTTAGTTTTATCTGCTGCTATTTCCGCTGCTGTAAAATCGAAACTTGCTCGTTGGTATCACGAAATACCGATCGTTACGGCGAGTCTTGTGATGACTCACGATGACTTTCATACAAATCGTTCGATAGGTACGAGCGACGAAACGGATTCAACGA